TTTTGGGGGGGGGGGGGGGTCGTAATCACTGGAATGGAGGCAGGCACACGTGTGAAGAAGGTGACTGCGATGTTGACGATGATGATGATTGTGAAAATTGTGAAATCTGCATAATTCCGAATTTCTGCAGCATCCCAAAAAAAATCGACATAATTCGTGCTCCGGTATCTTTATAGAAGTACTGTGGTTTATGCAGGATCAAGATAGGGTTTGTGTTTTTTTAATGTGCATGAATGTGTCCTCTGTAGTCCTGTTGAAACTTGACTTGTCAGTGGGAATTGCACTAATTTCAAATGAACAAAATGAGACATTAAGAGAATGGGTCAAGTTGCAATTTCGAACGTAATTATTTGCACAAGAGGTTGTAGATTATTGAAATAGCTTTTATGTGCGTGACTAGGAGGCAGACTCGGGCGCGTTCAAAAGGGTGCTGACTGGGTTTGACACGACAGTAAATTAAGAGTGAAACGACAACGATAAACGTCTGAATGTTCGGGAGCAATAGATTAGAGTGGCTGAGATTGGCTCCATAAAGGGATTAGCCAGATGGGATAATGTTTTTCTATTCTCATTCTATAAATTAACTTTGTTTTTTTTTTTAAATACGTCCTACTTTTACTTTCCCTTCCCGCATAAAAAAGTATAATGTCTCGTCTCCCCAACAATTATCGCACAACCGGACAGGAATAGGAGCCGAAGCTATTTGCACCGCCGACAGACTTGAAAATAAATCAGTTTCACACATTTTTTAAATATGTATTTAAATCTCTTGTGCCACCATTAATGTGTGCATGGGGGTTTGCGCAAACACACTCGTATAAAAAATTATACTCTTTCGCCAAAATGTCGCCTCATTCACCATCAAGGGATTTGTCTCTACATTTCTCTCGACACCTGTGCCCTCCTTCGTGTCATATCGCAGGTTTGGATTACGTCTTCACTTCCTGAGACCTGGAGATAAACTGCATGGATTTATGATCCACCCACATAATTTTGGGCCCGAGGCAGGGTATCTATAAGGTTTTCGCCTGGTCCCCTTGTTTGTGTCACGCGTGAAGGCTGCCTCAGTGTGATGCCAAATTCTCCAAACAGCTGCCGTGGAAAGCGGCTTGTGGTACGGAGGATGGCAGTCTAAGCGGAACGACTTGAAATTGGGCACGGCTAATACTCGTTACGTAACGCGGAAATGAAGTTCAACAGAATATATCGGCAATGAAAGGCCTTATTTAAATTTGCTTCGCATATTTATTCCTTCGTCATCATCATTATTATCAGCCATGATCTATCTGCTGCTGGATGAAGGCTTTCCTAAGCCATCGCCATCCCTCACGGTCTCTCGATGCAAGAATTCACCTGGCTACTGCACACGAGCTGATTGTATCGCTCCATCTCCACAGTGGGTGTCCTCTCTGGCGGATCCCTCTATTGGCTGCCACCCCATCGTTTGTCGAAGCCATGGCCCATCATCCCATCTTGCAACATATCCTGTCCAAGCCGAATTATTTTTGGAACTAACAATATTTACTGTATGTCTCTAACTTGCAGATGTTCTTAATATTTGCTTCTCTGCACACCTTTAAGCTTTTCTTTCATTATTTATTGGCAATAATTTACGTGTCTGCTCTCAGTTGTGTATGGGTTTATGTCCAAATGTTTTAACTGCTGTTGCAGTTAGATTCTGTATGAATCAAAATTGTATTGTAATTATGTTGTTGTATTTGTAGTGTGAAAGTGTGTTTATATTTAATTGTGTGGTTTTACCGCATTGGTGTTTTATCATTTATTTCTCCAATGTGTAAAGAGCCATAGCATGCGTGTCATGAATGAATTTGTTCAGCTTTATCAAACTTACAAGTCCTGAATTTTAAAACCATGTATCCTTGTTTGGAAATACAGTACTGCATATAAATGTTACACACCTTTGGTTTATATTTGACTTAAATTAATACCTGGTTCATTGCGATCAAAACTCAACTCGAGAGAATGTAAGTGGCTGTCTGTAGTGCTCATAACAAGCTGCCGAAGACGACCGCTTGTGTTGCGATCGAAACGTCGTAGTTTTTTTGTTATTTTTTGATATTTTCTTTGAACCTATCTATGTCATTTACCGAAAGACCCAAGAATAGCTTGTACAACACGATCCTGGACATCTCATCGGATTCCTCCACTATAAATACACCGTCTGATTCTGTCGGATTTTCCATGAATTTCCATATTTCGTAATTCACGCGGCTGTTCGCTTGGTGCCGCGCGTGCCACGAACCTCTCCGTCTTGACGCACGCGCACGCCGGTCACGTCACCGTCGCATCCCGTGTCTCGCCACTCCGTCTGTGTCGGCACACTGCCCGTGCTTGTTGTTGTTGTTGTCGTCATTGTGAGAATTGGTTTTGTTGTTGTTATCAGGTTACATTTCATCATCGCCTTCGTCGTCATCGTCATCGAATTTTTTAATTACTTATATAATTTATTCATTTGGAAATGTTGGCAACAACATCCAGCGGTATATTTATATCAGAGTGGTGCCAACAACGATTTTGATTACGCGATGTTAAATATCTACAGTCCGACATTTATATTTATTGTTCAACGTAGAACATCGAAACGTGAGGGTGTTTCTTTTTCGATTTTGAGTGTGTAAAATTGTAAACTGTGGTGACTGGATGCTGAATTATTGGAAATGTTGTAGAATGTTTGCCACAAGTGAACGTGGGACATTTGTGAGGATGCGATGTTCTGATGTCCATGGCTGATTGTTTTTTTTCCGTTGACTTGGAATGTTTGTGTGCTTTCAACATAATTTTATTATGTTGTTTATCATGTTTATAAATATTGGTTGTTTATTGTGTTCTTCCTGGTTCAGCAGTTCCACTGCTGGATTCTTTTTTCCGCCTGAGGACGACTGCTTGTGTTGTGATCGAAACGTGGTGATATGTTATTTTTTATTTTATTTAATTTTTCTACCTACGTGACTTTACTCAAAGCACCAAAGAGTATGGATTCCTGCAGTCACGAAAGCTTCAAATCAAGATTAAAACAAAACAATTTTAGAAAGAGGCGTTATGTTCTGATATTTTTTTTTCAATGCAGTATAGTAAATAAAAATATGAATGTGTTCTTTGGTGCAGTGCTTCGTGTATGAGTTTGATTAAGGACCATGGCCAACATCACTGCAGAGTGACAACTGATCCAGTCCTGTGCTTCCACTATTCCCCATGCAGCACTGACCAGCATAGTGAAGTATGGTCAAATAACCCCCATAATTGACACGATGGGCGGAGAGGCCTTTATCCAGTAATAAACTGGTGATTAATTAAAATACATTTGTATGTGCTTAGCCTAGATTTGAAGCTTTCGTGACTGCAAGGTTTCATATTCTTGGGTTTTTTCGGTAAAGTCAAGTAGGTAAAAATTAAAATTAATAAAAGTAAAATAAAAATAAAATAAAAATCACGACGTTTCGGAGGCAACACAAGCTTCTGTCTTCAGGTGGAACCGTCACAGCACGCTTGCTGGATCTCTTGGAATTTCTCATTTACTTGATACAGCAAGCGTGCTGTGACGATTCCACCTGAAGACGGAAGCTTGTGTTGCCTCCGAAACGTCGTGATTATTATTTTCCTTTTTTTTACTTTTATTAATTTTAATTTTTTAGCTACGTGACTTTACCGAAAAAAAAACTAAGAATGTGTGGTTAGCCTATTGTGCTATTAACGCCGTGACCCGAGTTTGATTCCTAACCATGGCTCACATTAGTGTCGAGTGATATTTAAATTTGTCCTAAACCCCCAACCTCACTCCCCTTTACCAAAATGCATCGACCACTTTGGTGAAGTATGCTAACCCACGCGACCAACACAGTATGGGGAGGCTTGTATGAAGCAGTCGGTGGATTAACGAATCCCTGCATTGGGCGTACCACAAGTTGTTAATTTCTCCACGGCTCATGCGTCTACAATTCTCTTGATTCTCCGATTTCACATTAACATAACCATCTCCGCTTGTGCTGGCCCCATTGCACTTGTGCCCCGCTCACTTCGTTTTGATACCAGGACGCTTGGGCAACGCTAATTTTAAACCTTTAAAACAGCTTGCCTTTAGTGGCTTCCCACCCCCTTTTACCACCTGATGACGGTCCCTTGTGTTGCGATCGAAACGTCGTAGTTTTGAAAATTATTTTTTTAACCTATCTACGTGAAATGGAAATAATAAATAAAAACAATAAAACAATAAAATTGTTTTTTATAGTAAAATAATAATAATAATAAAATGATCCAACATACAATTTTATTATGTTTTATTTTTATTATTATATTATTTTATTATTTTCATTCTACGTGACTTTACCGAAAGAACCAAGGAGATGAATCCCTGCAGTCACGAAAGCTTTAAATCGAAATCTATCTACGTGACTTTACCGAAAGACGCAAAGAATATGGTTAATACAGTATATATATGAAACAATACTTTACCGCAGTACTAAAATAAACCATAATATGTAATTGGTGCTGTCTTATATAACTTGTGATGAGCTTTACACTGCCACTTGCATAATATTAGCCTACTTGGAAAATATTTAGTGAATAATTTAAATAACGTCTCTAGTAATATTTAAAGTTAGTGCTTCTATTCGTCTGTCTTTTTGTATGTGTTCATATGTGTACACGTGTATTTGTACCTGCAATAATAATAATAATAAGTACTTAACCACACGGGTCAATGTGAGTTATCACTTTCCACCAATCTCAGCCATGGCCTGAAATCGAACTCAGGTGACTGGGTTATGGATATGTCTTTGTTGTGTGTTGGTGAAGGTTTTGGTGCACTGCCAACTGCAGCCTAAATCAACATGTCATGCATGGTGGTCACCCATCAAAGTGATAACCAGGCATTCAACCTGCTTAGCTTTCAAGAATGGATGAGATCGGGCACATTCTACGTGATTTGGTTGGAGGCATTTGTATGTCTTCATTAATATGTATGTGTGTCTGTGTTCCCACAGCTAGGGCAAACCCAGAGCCAGCCCCTGGTGCCTGCCCATCCAGGTATGGAGGATTACATCCGTTTATTTTCTCACTTCTTGGTCAAGATATATTGTTAACACACTTGGCACAGGTCACATGTCTGATGCACAGGGCCATTCCAATTGCGTGCACAGTGGCACAATCTTCCCACCTTCAGTCTGCCTTGCAAATCTAACTTTATTATTTTATCTCAAAATAAACTTTTTTGAGAGTCATGTATATTTCACGACCGAACGTGTGTTCGTGGTGTGCAACATGGTTTTGACCCAACCCTGCCTTGTGTGTGATATCTGATTTAATGAGCACTCACAATATCTACACTTTCTCCTGCATTGCATGCATAGACGTAGGGGCACCATGTGATGTGAGACAGGATAAGAATGAATGTGAAGGTAAACTGTGCCGCAGTGATTTGCCACGAGGAGGATTTGCCCATGATTTTTTTTTTCAATTTTAATGTTATTTACTACTTTTGTTCCATTGTACGGTCAGTGCCATGTCATGAGACAAATTATATGTCCATTCAGAACAGTACATGTTCGTGAATATCCCGTGGAAGATGATATCACATAATTCCTTCAAAGATTCCTTCGAGTGACCTTGAATCCACACGCACCCTGCTGCAGATGTTTGTCCCTTGGCAGTGAAACTGAACCTTTAATTTCTCAGAGCTGGAATTTTGCCAAATCAGGTGAAAAGCCAAATCTAAAATTATGGTTTAACTTGTGCAAGCATTAGTGACTGGCCTGAGACCATCCATTAACTGCACTCGAGAACCATATTTAATTGTGGGTGGCTAAAGGTTTCAAATCCAAGATCTCAGTGTTGTCAGATCAGTAGTCGACCCCTTGAGCCACCCAGCCACAAAAACACATGAAGTTGGTTCGGCATTTTACGTAGTATCTTAGACCAGAACATTTTTCACCATCCTTTACATGATTCAACAGTGCAAAGTGTTGGATAACAGTTGCTGTAATGTATGCAATAAGGGAAGTAGGGATGTGTTCCCAATTTTGGGATGAATCTGAAAAATGTGAAAATCGGGGGTAAGTAAAACATTTCTGAAAATCCGAATTGTGTTGTTGTTTTAGATTGACCCGAAATTTTGACGTCATTGGAAACTCATTTCCAAAAGGAAAGATGTATGGATTACCTTACCTAGTGCTTCTATATGTACTCTGTCCTTTGTATGTATGTTGAACTTTTTTCGTACCGTACGCAGCCAACCGCACGAATCGGAGCTGTGGTGGAGGGACAACGAACTAAACAGAGAAAGTGGTGCGAAATAAATACGTTTTAAATGTCTAATTTAAAGTGGCACAGTTCCAGTGGGGCTTCGAATGTCAGAAATGAAGAGTGGTCAAGACAGTTGCAGAGGCACAGCTAAAATTAACCCGTAAAAACAAAGTTTTTCACTATAAATCCTTTATATGCGTGGCATTGGCTTTATTTCAGCCCACATTGGTGTTTGAAACGGGCGGCTAGAGTCCTTTCGTCCTCTGGCTTGAGATGGCTGCCACCTATGGGTCAGATGATAGCCTGGCAGCATTAAGCAATTGGTAAATAAATATAAAAAAATTCCCCTAAACAGTGTAAAATTTGAAAAAAAATTTCACGAAAATTCATTGTCACGCACAACGGGTCTGTGTATAAAATGTCAGCTCGATTGGATCACGGGAAGTGGGTTAAAAAACGACCGAAAGATTTGCACGGTCGTAAGCAAGCAAGCACGCAAGCACGCAAGCAAGCAAGTGAACTTAATATAAAGGATTTAAAAAAAACACAGTTACCTGGTTCCACATTAAATCCTGCAGCTGGGCAGGAGCAGAAGAGGACGACTCACAACTCGTGTTCAACAGTGACACAAAAAGCCCCAGCGCTGGGAGCCCCGTCCTGTCTGGTCGAGGTGAGACCACACCCTGACCATGTCGATGGAGCTAAGTGTGCGTTTGTCTACGGAATAACTTGCTCTTGCCTGGCTCGCGGTGGCGTTGTGTGTGTTTGTGTGTCTGCATCATCGGTGTTTCCCGATCTCTCGGCCAACATCAGTGATGAATATCTGAACTGGTCCTGGGTCCTCCGCTAGGTCGATCCAGCCTTGAATGAGTATCTGGTGCAGTGTGTAAACATTGCCATTCGGGAGACAAAGGTCGTGGTGCAGGCCACCCACCCCGTTGTGTGGCATGCCGGACTTAATAGGTCCTGGCTCACAGCACTTGTCTCTGCAGTCTGTCAAGGCTCTATGGTGGAATTTTGCACCATATGTGCAAATGTTTTGTTTATATTATTTCCATCATTCATGTATCATGTCAGATTTCGTATTAAATCCGATATTCACATTCACATTGTGCCAAATCCAATGCAGGCATGCATGGTTAAAGTGAACGTATTTATTTATTTAATTAATATGATACACTGTCATTAAAAAGAAAAACTAAGAAGTTTAAACATTTATGGGAATGATACTCAGTATAGAAATGCGAGATGTAAAACTCAGGCAAATTATACAGAAAACTCAGCCACATTTATAATTAAAAGTAAAATGTAATTACTGTACAGTGGATCATTCTGACACAAGTCTGAATTAAATCCTCACCATCAATTAATTGTATAACTCTTTTCATCAAATTCATCTTCATGCGTTTCCACATTTTTTTTTCCAATTTGAATAATTTAGCTTCAACCGCTTCTTTTGGTAAACATGTGTAATAAAAGGACTCGGACACTTCCTTCTGTCTTCGTGTCTTTTATTGGGTTCTCGTCCTCACCCACACGGCACTCTGTTATAACTCTGTATTTGTAGCCCCCGGCTATTCACTGCTATTATAGCTCCTTCTTCCCTCTGACTCTCTGCTTCATCTACTGTAACCTCCTCCCTGCAGACTCGCTGCTACCTCTATGCAGACTCCCGCTGCTACCCCTATGTGCAGACCCTCTGGCTGCTACCGTATGCAGACCCGCTGCTGACTCTGTATGCAGCCCCGCCGCTGACTGCAGCCTCCTCGCTGCTTCGGGTCGGTCACCGCTGGCCAACGGTGCCGATCCTCGCTCCCCCGTGTTCGTGGCGATCTCGCCACCCTCCGCTTCGCCCTTCGTGGCCTCTCTCTGTTCCTGGTTCCCCGTCACTCCCTCTCCTCTTCCGGTTCCCCTCCTTCTATACTCAACCCCTCACCCCCCCACGTGACCTAACTCCTCCCCTCATGACGGCACCTCCGGAGGGCCGTTTACACCCGCATTACATCACCCTCCCCCATAAAGAAAATCCAGCCGACCTCGGCTGAATTGCAACCTGAAAAGCAATGCGGGTGTAAAGGGCCAACACGTAAAAAGACACGAAGCATGCAAGAACAATATAACAATGAACACAACACAACACAATCTAACGAAACGTGAGGGATTTCGAGCGAGTACGGGTAGCCGGGCCGTCCCGGACGGTCGGCAGCCCACCCGCCGAGCGGGAACGTGGAAGGGTTTTAGGGGCGACGGGCGCAAGTTCTTCCGTCGCCATTGGAGGCCCGCCACTGTCCCGCTCGCGTCCAGAGACATCCCGTACTCGCGTCCGCGGAGGGATAGGAAGAGCTGCAGGTCCCGTGGGTTCCGCGGCACCGGTCGGCATCCCACGAGCGGAACGTCCTCCTCCCTGCGCTGTCACGGCCGGCTTGTCTGTGAAGGGTACGACAGGCGCTTTCGCAAGGTCAGCAGACACAGGCAAGGGCGAGTCGGCAGCAACAGACCCCGGCAAGGCAACTTCGGGAGATGACGCATCCGGCCGCGGGGCAATGTATGGCTTCAACCGGGATGTATGCACGAACAAGCGCCGCGAACCAACCTGAACACGCGCCGACTGTGGGTTGGGAACCTCAATGAGGCGGACCGGACCTTGCCACGGTTTGTGTAATTTAGGAGAGGTACCTGGCCGCACCTGTGGGCAATGAAGCCAGGCCAGGTCCCCCTTCTTCCAGGGGCACTCCCCCTTCGAACGTCGGGCACACCGCTCATTCCTGGCCTGAGCTTTGGCTGTAGCCATGCGGGCTCTTTCCCTCGCCTCAGTGACACGGCGAACGTTGTCCTGAATATACTCAGGAAGAGGCTTAACAGGCCCCCTCGCACCGGTTCCCAACTGCTCATTAATCGGCGGCACATTCTCACGGCCGTACATAAGGAAGAACGGCGAGTATCCAGTAGCCGCGTGCGGCGTCATGCGATACGCCGAAAGCACCCCAGGGATATGCAAATCCCAATCAGATTGATTTTCCCCGACTGTATGGCACAGCATGGCGGACAGAGTCCGATTCAACCGTTCCACCATCCCATCCGTTTGTGGGTGGTAGGGGGACGTCCGTATCTTTTTAGTTCCCAAAGCCGCACACACCTCCCCCAACAATTTGGACGAAAAGTTACGCCCCTGATCTGTAAGGAGCCTCTCCGGCGCCCCCTTGTCCATTACATACCCAAATAGAAAGGCGTCAGTGATAGACGCCGCTGACTGGTCAGGCAAAGGCCAGGCCATCGGCCAGCGAGAGAGGTACTCCACCCCCACCAGTAAATACTTATTTCCCTTAGCGGATGGCGGAAAGGGTCCCAAAATATCTAACGCCACCAGCTCATTAACCCGAGATACTTGAATCGATTGTATCGGCGGAACATATGGATGTTTAGGTGGTTTACGGCGGGCACAATCGGGACACGCGCGAACGTGACCGACGACATCCGTCGTCATGCCGTGCCAATAATAGTCTCGTTGCAGCGTCAATAGGGTTTTCTGCACCCCCAGGTGTAAAAGTGTGTCACAGTGCAAAGATCTAATCAACTCGTACCGCAATGACGCAGGCACAACGAGACGCCAGTGTTCCTGTATCCCTTCCCTCCACATCAGTAACCCATCTCGGAGAGCAGTTTCCGAAATACCACCCGCACCGAGTTCCTTACCCGCCTTCTCCGTTCGTTTTCGTAACGACACCAAAGAATCGTCCAACATTTGCTCCCGAATCCACACAGACCTCGGAAGACGCAAAATCCCGTCAGCCGGTCCCCCATCAACCGGTCCCGGTGTAAGCGGAGTTTCGAGAACATCCACCGCCAGCGCGACAGGCTGAGGGGGGGGCTGAGTCGGTCCACACCTATGCGTCCCCGACGCACACGCACAAGGGGATTGTTGCGGCAACCTGGACAGTGCGTCCGCGTTAGCGTGACGCACACCCTTCCGATGGTGAATTTGGAAGGAAAATTCTTGCAACGTGTCCAGCCATCTCGCCAATTGTCCGGATGGCTGGTCCATCTTAAGAGCGTACTGTAAGGCCGCATGGTCCGTGCGGACAATAAACGACCGACCGTACAGATACGGTCGAAATTGGCGGAGAAAAAACACAATAGCCAAAAGTTCCCTGCGAGTGACGCAGTAACGGGTTTCCGCGGGAGACAAAACTCGACTCCCATACGCCACCACACGCTCAACACCACCTTTTGACTGGGACAACACCGCCCCAATACCAGTGTCACTCGCATCAGTATCCAGAATGAAGGGATGTTCAAAATCCGGATAATCCAACGTCGGCGCAGTAGCCAGTAAATCGCGCAGGCTCCGAAACGCCGCCTCCTCCGGCGGTCCCCACACAAATTTATGCCCCTTCCCAGTAAGGAGATGCAAAGGCCTGGCGATAGTAGCGAAATTCGGAACAAACCTCCGATAATATGAGGCGAACCCCAAAAACCGACGCACATCACCCACCGTGGCCGGGGTTGCCCAATCCCGGACACAAGCAGTTTTCTCTGGATCCGTGGCCACCCCGTCCGCACTAACAATATGTCCCAAGTATCGAACGGAGCGTTGCAGTAAATGACATTTCTTAGGCTTGAATTTCAAATTAGCAGAACGCATTCTGGCGAATACAGCCTCCAACCGCAGTAAATGCTCATCAAATGTGCGGCTGAAGACTATAATATCATCTAAATAAATGAGACATGTCTCCCACTGCAACCCCGTCAACACCAACTCCATCAACCTCTGAAAAGTGGCAGGGGCAGCATTCAACCCCATCGGAAGACAGTTAAATTGGAATAAACCCTGCGGCGTACGGAAAGCTGTCTTTTCTCGCGAGGGCTCGTCAAGGGGGAGCTGCCAGAAGCCCGAAGAGAGATCTAGCGTTGAAAAAAACTTAGCCCCTGACAAGGCGTCGAGAGAATCGTCCATACGCGGCAGGGGATACGCATCTGCCACCGACACTTTATTCAGCTTCCGAAAATCCACACAAAATCGCAATTTACCATCCTTCTTTTTAACCAACACAACAGGCGCGCCCCATGGGCTATTAGACGGAGATATAATATCCGCTTTCAACATGTCTTCCACTGCCCCTCGAACATGCTCACGCTCAGCCGGACTCATCCGACGCGAGTTCAACCGGATAGGGGCAGCGTCCCCCGTGTCGATATGATGAGAGAGAAGCGAGGTGCGTCCCAAGTCCAAATCGTCCGAGCTAAACACATCGGAATAGCTCGATAATAATTTATGAATCGCACAACGCTGCTCGGTGGAAAGGGCCGAATTTTCCCCACATAATTCGGCGATCCAACGATCATCAACCCCTCCATCGTGTGAAACACCACCCACAAGCCCCCCGTCCGGCAGGTCACTCTGGGCCGTAAACGCCGTAGTGGCATGTGCCACAACGGTACCAGCTGGCACACACACGCTTTCAGCACTCGCATTTAACACCTGCAAAAACGGGCGCTGATCTGGACGGACAATAGTTTGCGCCCCTACCAGCGCTAAGCCGCCCGTAACCGCGGCGGACGGCGACAGCAAAATCCCAAAAGCACCCTGCCGACCCGGAACCGGCTTCCGGTATCGTAAGGGAATGAGCATCTGAGACCCAGGTGGAATATCAACCGAAACTTCCGATAGCG